AACCCCTCCAAAAAAAAAAAAAAAAAGAAAACCGAGAATGATCCTTTAACATCCCATCCCTAATCCAATAAATCACCAAGCCCTATTTCACATCCTAAATATTTTTTTAAGAATTATTTTTTTATCTAACTTTACTTATTATTTTCCAGTTTGATCAGAGAGAGAGAGAAAGTAAGAAAGCAAGCAACCAGGTCCTGGACTCAAAACTGTGGTTGGCCATGTGGGAGTCCAGCGCTTTTAACCACTATACCACCTGCTGGCCCCAGCATCCTAAATATTTATACAATCTTTTCTCCTCAGTTCCTATAGTCATCACCTCAGTTCACCATCATTTCTCACCAGGACTGCTGCAACAATCTCCTTGGAGGTCTTCCTGACCCTTAGCTGATCTCCTTAGCATCATACATATAGCAGCACTCTCTTAGATCTCGTCTTTTTTCTGTCTTCTCACCACTTGCCATTCTGAATTGAATGCTTGCTTCAGCAACACTATACTGCACACACCATGCTGTTTCTCATCTCAGTGCTTTCTCACCTCAGTGCTTTTTTTTTCCCCCTTTTTTTGAAGAGGTTTTTGCTATAGGGCTCGTGCTCTCGCCAGAAAGACAAGAGAGAGACAGAGAGACAGAAAGCGAGAAATCACCCCCCAGGGGGGATGGTCACGCCGCAATCCCTTCTCCTCCATTCTCCTCTCGGGATCTTGGGCATGCACGCACACGGATCCGGTGTAGTTTAAGCCACGGGGTCCAGGACTCGAACTGCGGTTGACTACATGGGAGTCCAGCGACATAGCCATTAGCTAACTGCTGGTCCCCACCTTAGTGCTTTTAATGCTGGACTCACTGTCCAGAATGATCTGCCCTACCTCCACAGTCCACCTTGCCCTGCCTAACTTATATCCAAGAAGTCGTTCTGGGATCAGCAAGTGGCATGGTGTTTAAGGCGCTGGACTCCCACATGGCTGACTGTCATTTGAGTCCTGGACCTGGTGGTTTGAAACACACATCAGGCACATGTGGATGTATGTCCAAAATTCCGAGAGGATACTGGAGGAGAAGGGATTGCAGTGTTGCCATCCCCTCCCTCCTGGGGGGTGGTGATTTCTCACTTTCCCTCTCTCTGTCTGTCCCTTTCTTTGGCGAGCACACACGCCCTATGGCAAAACCTAAAAGAAAAAAAAAAGTAAATAAAAAGTAAAAACATCAGAAATTATAGGGAAAAAAAGTCATTCCTTCCCATTCCTCGGCTAAATAAAGTGTCTCCTCAGTTTCCATAATAGCGCACACACATCTCGCAACACTGAGAGTATAGCACCATGCTTTATGATTACTTTCCCTCTATCTTCCCTACTACTTCGGGAGTTCCTATATCTCAACGCTCAGCTCTGCGCCTAACACATACATTTCTACTCACTGGACGAATGAGTCCTTCTGATGGTGGACGTATCATTAATGGGAATCTTAAGTCCATAATCAATATAAGCTTATTTTTGTCGCTAGCTTTTGATATGATTAAATTTTACAGTTCTAATAAGCCCTTGAAATATCAACCCCAAGTCACTACCTCCGAAGAACCATCCTTCCCAGCTTCTAACACCCACCAGGATTGTTCCTGCACGGTACCCCAGTCCGTCCCTACCAATTCCTGTAGCTCCTCGCGCACTAAGTCTCACCGGAGGAGCTCTAGGCATAATCGATGGCAGCTCTGTGGGGCCACTGGCCACCTGCTCCCTCCATCCCGGACCCCGGGAGTCACCTGTTCGTCCCCTCCCCTCTTCTCACCCGACCCCAGGCTCCGTTATTGCTCTGGCCACTCTACCTTTACCCCCTTTTCCAGAACCACTTTTTCCTTTGGGCGGCATCTTCAAGACTTGCGGATAAACAGTCAACCGCTCCGGTGTCGTACAAGTCCCCTCAGGCCCTGTGGGCATGCCCTAAACAATGCCTGAAAGCGGCATTGCGAGAGACGGTTCTTTTAGCTGCTCCGGAAGCAGGCATAGCTTGGGACAGACCCAATGCTTTGGCTCACGGACCAATAGGGCTGAAGAAGTCTGACCAATAAAAAGGTGGGTCTGCCGGGAAGGGGGCGGAGCCAGAGGTGGGGCTGGAGCGGGAAGCCCCGCCTCTACGCTTTTTGTTCCTACTTTCACACACCCTTATTTGCGCCAGCTCTTCTGCTCGCCCCTGCGAGCGCCCTCGCTCCAGGCATGCGCAGAAGGATCAGCCGGCCTCTGCAGTCTTCCGTGCCGCTGTGGCCAATCTCCGGGACCGTCAGACAAAGGGAAAAGCAGGAAGAGCCTTGGTGACAACCCGCCCCTGTCCTGGCAGTCCACTCCTATGTATAGGCCTTCCCTCTGTGTCGGTTTTAAGGCTTTTATTTTGTAGCCTTAGCTGATTGGGT